TATATGAAAATCAAGTGAAGACTAATAAATTTATAGCACTTTATCAATATTTGGCGCATTTGGACGTCAACTGTATTCACAAGAATTAACATCACAATTGATTATAATATTCAGAGAGTATATATATTTTTGTAGACAAAATGAAATTCATTCACAGTTTAAATATGTATTTTAAACCAGAAATGTTTGATGCGATCAAAAGCGGTGTATAATTAATTAAAGTACTGAAAACAAAGTGTAAATAAAATGCAAAAATATGAGATCTGTTTTTAGAGACGTTTTCCAAATGTGAATCCAATGGATGAGAGCATAAGTCCTGCCAATGCGTCCAAAACCATAATAGCAATGTTGGCCCCGTCTTCCGCTTTGAAGGCATTCTTGTCAAAGACGGATGCATTGATTCCCAGAAAGAATTCTTTGCAGGGCTCGGAAAATGCCACGAAAGCGCCCCAAAACATGACCCCGGCGATCACCAAAATTGCCACTAAAATTACAGTCATTTTCTGTGAAAATTATCTTAAGTTGTCATTTATAACTATTATACCGATGGCCGCGAAGAATAAGATCTTTATGTCGTATAATATTCCGGCGATATTGAAGAAACTGAGTATAAATAGCACGCCTCCAGTGATGGTTCCCGTGATTTGGATGATCTCCAGCTTGGGATAGTCGTCGCCCGTAAATATAGTGCAGTCCTTGTTCTTCAGGATGAAAAAGGACGCCACGGATGCTAACTATTGGTGGCAATCATTCATTCATTTTCAATGTCTCCACTCATTACATGTCTTAAGATTTATAGTTTATTTAAGTGTCAGTTAATTAATATCAATAAACATATAAGTTACGATATATTTATGAAGCAATTATTTGAAATAGAAATGCATTTGATTGACTGGATCAATTTTTATGGTTTGTTTGTGAATATCGTCCAAATATTTCAATAAATACTTTTCCTGCGCTTCGTTTACTTTTACAGATAAACTTAACATTTACTTAACATTTAGTTTATTTTCTTAGATTTTATTATTTATGCAGACATTTGAGATATACACGTAAGTGTATGGCGATTAAATTTTCAAGTAAATATTTTTTGTTTAAAAACTAATATCAATTAGATATGAAAATAAAGTAAAATTATTTAATATCTCTATTATGATTAATTGTAAAAGAATTTTGACATTAATTTTAATTATGAAAGAATTTAATGGTTTAAGAATTTATAAACTATTTTAATGTTTTACTCTATTATTAATTTATAAATTAATTGAATTTATAAACTATAAATGTATGTCTGGATCAAAATGATTTACAGACACGAACTCTAATTGATAATTGTTTGCAATATTTATTTCATAAAATAAAGTCAACTGAAACTCACGGCAACGAATAGTCCCAGAAATCCATAGTAATTAAGATGTTTGCTTTGAGGCATTTTCGGTGCACTCTATTCAACACAAATTCACAATTAAAGCGAAATTGGAGTCAAAAATAGCTGTAAAACGATTTCTATGTTTTCACTTACAGATGAGTAAAATCGCGATTCAGTTGAGAAAAGTTAACGTTTTTTTAAAATAGAAATACAAAGAGTTTGTGAGTAATTGTATTACGAGAAGAGTGGAAATGTATGGTCCGTTCCCTTCAGTTATGTCTCACGCCTTCACTTTCAATGTTAACGCTTAACACTAATACCAAACCTCTGACTCTGCGAGTCCTCTAAAGCTTTTGAAACTTTGAAAAGTATTTC